CTATATGTATAAAAATAAGGTTTATACATTGCGACTTTGGGCATGAACATCGGAGAACTAAGACACACTTGTTTAGTTTACACAGTAAAAATTTGTTGTAAATTGTAGTTCTCAAAAATAAGTCATTTTAAAATCATAATAAGCGAGTTGCCCAACTGCAGACAGGACAGAAAAATGGACAAAATTGGAAAGAGCCCGACACCCAGAAATCAATTATGTGAAAATAAATGGTGATTAAAATTTGGTATAAGTTCACACTGGAAATTGTCCTAAAAATGCTGGACTTCCTCATCTTTAATCTTCCAAATTCGTATTTTGCCATGAATTTAGGATACTTTTATGATACGAACTCCACTGGTGGCTACAAAAGTGAACTACCAGATAACTTTTTAATGCTGATTTTTTTTTATTACAAAAAACTTCTTTCAGCTTTATTCACCCTATTTCGTTTAGGTGATAAGTCGAATTTTCCCACAATCCTATGAATGTGCCTTACGTTTCCAATGAATTTCACGTAGCTTCGCTTCGTCAAAATGTATTCTTATCCAGACAGGAGTGGACGGCAATTTCGACATTGCATTTAATCATTAATTGCTTTATTCAACCAAATGTCTGTATAGAAGTATTTTATTTGTCAGGTCAGAAGGAATTTTAGGCTTTTGGTTTTCCTCACTTTTCGACTCAGCTATTAGCAACGCATTTTGAAATAATTTATTAATATTTTTATTCTTTATAATGACAGTTTTATCAGTGCTAGACGAAGTGGCAGTAATAATTGCAATAACAATAAATCACAATTACTATTTTAATGTGAGCAGATAATTGGTTATTCGAAAGCCATTTGGTAAACGAGCCAAGCGACTGCATGTCAAACCCTCGGTTTGGAAAGGGATCTGCTCAAAAGAGGTGCTCCGTATGCCCTTTTTCGTGGTTTGATATCACCTCGACCTTCAAATAAGAGATAATTTAACTATTTACAACCGGAGTCCTCGTTTAACAGGGTCACGGCAAACTAACTTCGCATGAACTTTCCCCATCACCGACATGCATTGTGCCTGTGCTCGTGTCAGTGTCTGTACCAAGTGGTCTGCTTGTCCCTCGAATCGCACCCACACTCGGCCTACCGCTGTCGTTACTATCCTGCCCCATGGGGCAACGAGTGATTGGGAATGCTCTTTGTGAAAGACGGAGAAATGCCTCCACATGTCTGCCGGTTAATGAAAGATAACTCATCTGAAACTGATTTTCATCTGGATTTTCCATTTGCGCACAATCAGGCCAGAATTGGAGTATAAATAGCCGGGCAACCAGAATGCTCGATGATGGTCGCATCAAAGGCTGCCTTTTACAATCCACGATTGCTTAGACTGGAAAAGTAAAGACTGTCTGAAAAAAACTCGACTGACTGGCCATTCCGGTTTCTTCATTACCAGGTCACTATGTTATGTGTGCATGTAGGGCAGTGTACAGGGTTGTGGAGGAAATGCTGTCTGAAGCTGACTCGGTGAGAGGTTGCCATGGAAGGCACCAGTTGGCGAAAAGTCATTCTGACAGACGTCCGGTGGCCGAGCAGTTTGACTCAGTTCTACTGCCGACTGGAAGTCTGAACGACGCCGGAGTGGGCAAATGGTGTTTCACGAAGCGTCGTCTTCCCGACAAAACATGAACCCCTCGAAGCCGGCTTGAAGGGTCTCTTGCGGTCACTCGAGCACAAGCGAACTGGCAATCGCCAGTCCACGATTGCAGACCTCGAAGCCGCTTGCCAGCTCGACTTCTACAAACTGGTGCAAAGCGCAAGTGGTTGATCGACCTCAGGGAAAACTGCTTCAACTGCAGTCGCATCTTCATGGTACAGGTTAGACACAAACGTATGAAGAAAGTTGAGGGTACAAA